ACACAAAAAAAAAAAAAAAAAATCAGAGATTTTCTAATGGGTCTTTGCCATTGATTGTGGATTATCCTCAACTACAGTATATATTTTTAAGTTCTTCAGCTTCTCTTTCATTTTCTTTCACTAGCTTGTCATGTCATAATTTTTTCAATAACATGTTTTAGATAATTTTAGCGTGGATGATTTTTTCCCTTTGTATTTGTACACTAATGCGATAAATGTTCTCTAATATTTTTCAGCCCAACGCTGAAACTGATGATGATATTACCCCCCTATTGTCAGCAGTGGCTGCTGGTTCTCTGGCTTGCTTGGATTTATTGATTCAGGTTTTGTTTCTGTTGACCTTCGTTTTTTTCGTTCCTTCTGAGGTCATATACTAATGATATTTGATTGAATTCTAATTACTTCCAAGCTGTAATGTGTAAATAATGAACCTTTTGCTTCTTCGATCAGAAGCATTTCATTCAGAGAAGAGAATGGTACAAAATGGTACAAAAAGTGATGGAAGCACTAGGCATCAGAATCTCTGCATTCATCATCGTAGAGCACAAAAAACTATCTAGTTGGTATGAATAAAAAATGATAAATAATTTGAAAAATATATAGCTAGTCCAGTGTACACCACCTAGAGATAACTCTTTGCTTCTTCTTCTTGGATCAGAAGCATTTCCTATAGAGAAGAGAATATTGAAAAAAGTAATGGAAACACAGGCATCAGAATGTGTGCATTCACCATCATAGAGCACAGAAAATGATACAGTTGGTATGAGTAAAAATGATGAATAGTTAGAAAAATTTATATCCAGTCTAGTATACACTGCCTAGAGGCTAAGAATAAATATTTTTCCTCAAAATCCTCGACATCCCTTTAAGCTAGTGAGGAATCTTATGGCATATTCACAGCAAATCGCTGAACAGTAGCTATGTTGGTCCTCCCAATAGCTTTTATCTAAATTCTAACCTGTTACCAGTTGGAGGGGGGAGTGCATCATTGAAATCCAAATGTTTTGAACATATTCTTCTAAATGGTTGCTGAAGAAGAGCAGTGAAAAAAGAATTGTATGGTTTGAGAATGTTCATTAGGTCTTGTTTTACAAACTTGAGAAAATAAAGACTGAGCTGAGAGCTTGGCAAAAAGCAGTCTCTATGGGGACTTGAAAGTTATTAAGGTGAACACAGTACAATTAGTGATTAGGATGTTCGGGAAAGAAGCAAGGAAGTTTCCTAATTTTTCTTTCTCCCTGTTGTAAATTCTTTACGAGTGTTTCTTATCTGGAAGAATCCATATATTGTCTGGTGATGGAAAATGTACTTTCATTCTGTGCATTTGTTGGACAGTTATATTGCTTTATGCCTTTTTTTTTTTTTTTTTTTTTTTGGGATA